CTAAATTCATCCATATTAATTTAAAACAATTTTAAATTAATTAATTAAATTAATTAATATGTGTATTTAGAATTCTCAATTCTATATTAATAATTATAACCCAATATGATATATTCAGTTCACATTAATCTTATGGAGCCATTGAGAGGAATTATGGACATTATTATTTTAAGCTCTAATAATTTTGACAATTAATTACCACCTTAATTAATATATCAAAATTATTAATTCTAAATTACTCCACTATAAATTTGGAATTGCACTCTTAAAATAATAAAAATAATTATGTTCACGGAATTTGTGTTGTCCATTGATATAGTCACTACATATGAATTAATCCTCCATAAACGGTTCATAATTAAAGCTAGGTATTTTCCGTTAACCTCTTTAATTATATCTTTCTCCATAAGTACCATTGATCCTCTAATGAATAATATATTTTATGATCCAATCATAAAATTGAGCGCTCTTATTATTCAAGTCTCGAATCAACCCTTATGGGAACCGTCCATCTACTTCATTATGAAGGAATGGATTTCATCTTGTAAATTAATATTCCCGGCTATTTATTTTACTATGCTCCCAATATACCAAGACTTTGACACTATTCACACGTGTCATTACTCAATATGTCAAAGAACATAATATCATAAATAGGAGTTTATTAATTACTCAGAATTAAGATTAATTCATATATGACCATCATTGATTAATATTGAATACTCTATTTAATAACGGAATTTATTAGAGATTCATAATTAATCATGTTCCGGTCCTATGTAATCATATTACATAAAATACTTTCATTCTAATAATCTCATTATTAACAATCTAGGATAAGATTGTTTCATTCAGAATGTAATGAACCGCATTAGTAATTTTAAATTAAAGATCCCAACTTTAATTTATAATTACGAACAAGTTTAGATTATTTTATTTCAAACATTATCCTCTGCATATAACAATTATATACAATGTTTAAAGTTACATCAAAAAATAATCTAGGGATTTTGATATTTATAAAACATCACACGTATGCAAAATAATATTGAAAAAATTCCTCATTTCATTGATAATCAGCAAAATATTTACATCTTATTTGATTTATGTGCATATATCCCAACAATATCACCTTCTAAATCTTCAGGGAAAAAAAAAATTAACTCTTCCAATGAGCTTTGTGCGTGAAAAATAGTATTCATCCCCAAACATGGCACAGATAGATGTTGTTGGAACTATTGCTAGAATCATATTATTTTATGGATTTGTGTATCACATTTTCATTTAGAACCCTTTTGATAAATGTATTTGAACTCATAATTTTAATTTTGGTTTGATGCAGTGTTTTCCTCTCACAAAGATTTGAATTTAAAAATTTCTCACAAATAACTCTCTTACAAAATTTTTATCAATGAATTAGAATCACTGACTTGAACGTGTGAACTAAATGACCCTTAATATTTTAGGTTGGAATAGCTTAGCCTAGTTTGGATTTTTACGCGCATCGAGTATAAACGCATTTAACAATACTTCAATATACAAAAATTAATATTCTTTAGTTAATTCTCTTTATGAAAATATCTTGAAATGAATATGATATTCAATTTATAATTTGCATAAACTTATATAGCATTTGCATCTTCAAATATAGGGAGTACAACCATGAATCAATATAATCAACCTGTAATTTTTTTTCAAATTAAAACATAGACAATAATTTTTTTGAAAATAGTAGTGTAAACTTATTATAAAGTTATAAAACTGTATATATACATAAAATGATAATTATTAAATAAATATAAATAAACTTATATTATATATAAAAAAAATTTCAATATACAATATATAGTGTTCACAAGTTGAAATATTTACTAAAATAAAAAAAATAGAAAAAAGAGGTATGGGTTATGATCTAGTCATCACTATAGTATAGGCTTTCGATCTGAAATGGTGTGTCCAAAAGAACTTCAGCCCTTTGTTGATCAAGACTTTGCCTCTTTCAATTCACCGATTCGAATTGATATGTAATTTCATGTGAGAGTTTTTAACTATAGCAAGAAAAGTTAGATGTAACTTTTTTGTGAGAGCTTTTAACTGTAGCAAAACTCAAATCGATAAAATGAATTATAGTTTAATAATTCAAAAACTCGTTATAAAAACAAAACATACATTACAAAAACCAAAACCTGCATATATAATGGATATAAAATTAAATAAAAATACCTTTAAAATTTTAAATAAAAAATATTGAAAACGTTTGTGAAAAAAATAATTGTTTCAATGAGGTAATAAGGAAACTTATTTTCAATACAAAATTCTTTAAAAAAAATAAAAGAAGACCAAGCAATCATTTGTTAAACGTGTAAAGGTTTATGTAAAAGTGGTATTTTCGAAACACTTAAATATAGGAATAAAAAGGCAGATTTTGAACATCTTTGAGAGAAATTATTTTAATGAAAAAAATAAGTTGCAATTAGTTTGAAACAAAAGCAAGCAAGTGTGAAGAACAAAATAGTATTCGTTCCAAAAAAAAAATTTAAGCACGACAATTAATTAAAAAAGTATTGATAAACGGTGTAAAAATATTTAAATACGTGACATGTTTGGGAAAATAAACTAAAGAATAAATTAGAGAAAAAAAATTTTAATAGAAAATATTAAAAAATTAAAAATAAGCAAACAATAAAAAAAAAGCAAGTAAATAAGTAGTTGACCTCTCTCATTTTCTTACAATGCACTTGATGGAATATAAGCTTGAAGTTTTATATAAAGTTAAATAGGAAATAAATTGGCTTTGTTCAATATTAACATTATACCCCTTGGTTGAAGTACAAAAATTTAAAAATGAGCCATTCCCTCTTCTATATTAGACTAGCATGGGCACGTGGCCTTAGGCACGTGTTTCAAGTATTGCATTCTTTTCTCAAAAATTATAACAATAAATGTAACACAACATAAAAAAATCTATTATAAGTATTAGTCTTCAAACTTTGCCCTCTTTATTCTCTCTTGTATAAAATTTTGCCCTCTTTATTCTCTCATGTATATATAGAGATAGATATATCGCCTTTTGATAATTATTGATTCATTTTTTAAATTGTTGTGTAATTATGAGGTAATTTGGAGGATGCTACTGCTTCTTGGCGTTGATTGATTTTGTCACGAGGAAAAAACTCTTGTAATTTGTTCTGTTATTATTATTTTTTTTTAAAGATTGTAATGATCAAAATACCAAAAGATAGCCCAAAGCTTTTTTTTTCCTTCTTTTTCCATCTCTTTCTATCTATCGTTGTGCCTCTCCTCCTATCTCTCTTCCCCATGATGCGCCAACCAAACAGCCTAGTCGACGCCCCGCCCCCTCTGCCACCTATTCTTTTGTCACTACCCCAGCCTTTTTTGCACGCGGGATATCCTTGAAAATCTTAAGGCGTTTGGTGACTATAAATATAAGGGTCCGTTTAATTTAATCGTTGAAAAGTGTTGAAGTCAATGATTTTAATTTATTGTCATAAATTTTGTGAGAGAAAATATTTTTAAGTTCAAATTCTTTATAAGATGAAAAACGTTGTAACAAAATTAAAATCAAAGATTTGAATACATCTCCCAAACACCCCTAAGATATTGACAATCTTTAGCCAACGAAAGTATCACAATAGAATATCAGTAGCCACTAACCTTTATCGCCAGTTGTCAAAATTTAGTCTTACGATGGGGTATCTCCTAGTATTACAGTAAAATACTAGCGAGTTACCGAGAATTGCAGTATTCCAGCTGGATACCTCTAAGTGTTATTGTAGGATACTAGTCGCCTGTAGATGTTACCAATATCTTTATATGATATACTATTGAGGCTTTATTTGGTGCTCTAGATACGGTCTCACATGACATGACTATTTCATGGCATAAAATAAATTTAAGACATGAATTCGAGGCATTTTTTTTAAGTGCCTTGTAATTGTTTGAAATTAGTTGGCCAAGTCTAAAATTGTTCCCAATGGCCTCACATGTCTTCGGCCGACCCTGATAATAACATTTAATGAGAATGATATATGAGTTGAGTACCGTCATGAGTTACTTGGAAATATATTTATATTTTCTCATAAACAATTTATGTTATCTTTTTGTAGTAATTTTATGTTTAAAATGGAGTGACATTAAAATTCAAATTTTATTCATTAAATTAAAGTGCTGACTCGAGCCAATAGCGTTAGAATTTGTACCATAAGTATGAGATAACTGTGGTTAAGATCATAGGGATAGAAATCATCCAACCACAAAGAAACTATGAAAATTTCTTGATTTCCTAACAAAATATGATTTTCGTTAGACAAGATTGGATGAGGGTTTTCAAATAACTCAAATAACCTCGAATTTAATCACTCCCTATATGGAGAGGTTAGAAGAGGAAATCCATAACAAACACAATAAAAGATCCTCCCCATCCTTTCCATTTTCCTCTCTTAGGTTATATACCTTTTTTTCCTTCCTATTTTTCTTTTCTTCTACCATACACAACCGCAATGTCAGGAAAGGATACAAAATTTTTCCGGATATATACACTAAATTTCAAAGGAAACTTTTACCAAATATACAGTACCTTTTTTTACAAATTCTTTGCGCATCACAAGTATTATAAACGTGACTATATATACAAACTCCACACATAACTGACGTACTTGCTAATTAAATGTTTTTTTTTTTCAAGTTCCATATATGTAGTTATGTTTTATGTTTCACATTTACATTACTAATTGTTATTCATCCTGATAGTAAAAGCTGATGCAATGCATTTTATAGCCTTGCAATTTTCTGAGCAAATTCTTAATTTTTTTATTTCCATTCAATATTCTTCTTCTTCCTCTTTTCATTCGTCTTGTTGATATCATCTTTGAGCCGCAACACAATCTTCTTAAACTCATCAAAACTTGTTGCAAGCTGTTTACAAACCCCATTCCCTTCCAAACATTCTTTCATGCTTTCTGTAAAACTAGGAGGGTCATTAAAGTCTTCTCTCATGTCATTGAAATCTTGCCAATATTTCTTTGCTTTTTCTTCATACCGTGGTCTCCCTACCCCAATTAGGATGATGGCCTGTCAGATATATACACGTATAGACCAAAATACAAGCAAATTAATTAGAGTAAGAAAAGTTAATTAAGATCATTTTCTCTTCTCTTTTGAGTAAAACAAGAAATTACCAATATCAAATTCAAAGATAATTTTCACACCAAGTTTTCAAATATTGAATTTAACCTTTCATGCCGAGGACACCCCAAAAAAAAAAAATGCACAAAATGCTCCTAGATCATCCCCAACGTACGATGCCAAAGAGAGATCAAAGTGCTATAAATTTCAAAGCTAAGGATGCTGGCGTAAAGCCATATGAGAAGTTCATACACCTAATTAACTTTAGCTATCTTGGTTTAGGATGATCATCCTCTTTCTAGATTCCATACGTAGAATATAGCAAAGTTTATAAACCAAGTGTGTAGAAAGAAAAGATACCAGAGAAAGAGAATTTTTGAAAGAATGAAGAAACCAGATTTCGAGAGAATTTTGATAGAAATTTCAGAAATATCAAAAAAAAATTTGTCCATGCCTAGATGATGTTAGATATTGCGATTAAAATCAAATTCGAAGTACTTACTAATGATCAAGTCTTCTCCAACTCTCATTACCAAAAAAAAAGTCTTCTCTAACTCCATTAACAATCGAAGCCCACTAGCTAACTCAGTATCAGCCTACTTTGTATAACTATATTTAAGTTCGAATCAATTTATATGAGCTGCGTGCTATATCTCTCTCTAATTCCTACTTCTACAATTTTCTATACGACAATATTGGTACTACATATTTGCTAGCAATCTGTTGTTCCATTCTATGATGAAGCGCATCTACATTGCTTATCACTTTTTTCTTGAATATTTGACTCATAGTTAATCTTTAGTGTTTCTCATATTTTTTGTAAGAATCAATTGGTACATACTCTTATAAAACTCCTACATCGCCTTTTGTTTTCAAATAACAACGCAGCAAGATCGGTATTTCCCATTGGAAGCACCATCGTCAAGGGAAATATTAAAGATTGTGATTCAAATTACTTACCAACAACCAAGTCTCAAAAACACGGTTTCACCAAGATCCTGTGCTACTATTCACTTAAAATTCAAAGTATACATTTTAGTTTTTGTTTTAAAGTACTGCTGATCATAATCCGGCAGTAGAGAATATTTAAACCCTGCTCTCGTATAACGCTTTTTAAAAGTAATGCCAAATATTCAAATTACTTAAAGTTGTTATATGATTTCCCCCAACAGTATAGTAATGACTGACATTACGACTGCCGATTTATCATTTATCTTGCACGTTTGCACGTAATTTGTATAGTAACTCTAGTGAACTACCATATAGTTTTCTCAACGGATTATATATATTCGAGGATCCTACAGGCCCCTCCTTTGTGTAAGCTTATATACATACATACATACATATATATATATATATATTTCTGTAGTTAGCATTGCAATTGGAGTGTTAGCGCGTGCATGAGAGCTTTGTGGGTTTCTATTTGTATAATTTTAGGTTATTTTATAAAGAGATTTATTTATGTAAGCAAATAAATTCAAATAGGGCTCTCCACCTAAGTGATCAAACCATATTTAGATACCAGAATTACCGCTCTATCATTTCTATTATAATAAAAATGGGGAATGGCTGAACCAGTTCCTTCGTTTACTTTTCCGACTTTGCTTGGTTCCCAAAAAAGTTTATATATTAATGGAAAATAGAATATGCCATACCTTATAGAGGGGGTAACGTGCATCCGCAATCATGCTTTCTTCAGTCAAGCATTTGCAACTGAAAGCCTTCTCGAATTCTCCCTGGAAATAATTCATTTTTAACAGCCTTAAGAAACATTGGTCTGATAAAAATATTCTTCCATGTAAAGATACATACATACACACATTTATATGTCCTTGGAGAGAAGAAAGCTAATTAATTAATGGCTATAATCAAGTTTTTCCTCTATAACCCATTAACTAATTGACTTTTCATCATGAGACAATATTATTTATTTTTATAACCCATTAAATGAATATTAATGTAGAATCTATAAATAATTAAGTAAAGAATAAATTTTACGAGTTTTCCTTTCATCGTGGCACCAGATCTTTCAAACATGCTATTTTTTTAAACGGAATAGTTGTCGTTTGCTTTAAGGTTAGCTACAACATTTAGGGGCTAATGAATGCCCTTTGCTCTAAATCATTAGTTGGATGCCAAACCTCAAATATACTCTTCTTAGAATAGTTGTATTGAAAGCAAGAAAACATGAGAAAAAAAAATTGCAAAGGAGACCCTAATTCAATTGGGTTAGTTAAGAATTTAAGAAAATGACAAACTTCAGCTCCTCGCGTGCACCACATGTGCTAGTCCATCTAAAAAATAACATGTTTCAAAGTTTGGAAGATGAATCTGGAAACGTATTATATGTTGGGGGTAAAATATGTAAGTTTAAAGAGCATCTCCAATGTAATGTTATAATTGATGTGTCAATTTGTAAATTTATCATTTGAGCGTAAAAAATACTATCAAATGCAATGCTATTTGTTGTGTCAAATTTGTCATATGTAAATTTCCCATCAAATATAGCATATGGCAAAGGCACTTAATTCCTATTGGTTAATATGGTTACCTTCTAATCCAATCATTACAACTTTTACTTGTTAAAATTATTTTAAAATTAAAAGTTCACTTTACAACATTCAAAGTTTAATAATTATAGGAAAAGTATTAGCATTCCATAGCATTATCAATTGGAGCGCAAATAAAAATAACATGTCCTATCATATTCTTTGGTATCAAATATACAATTAACATTAGCATTTACATTGGAGATCTGGTCTAAAGTTTGAAGAGTATGTTGACGCTGACATTGTTAAGGAGAGATTCGTAAAGTTAATCCATAATTAAACTCTTACCAGGAAGTTAGTTTCATTTAGCACTAAACATGGTTTGATTTATTTGTTTATTTATTTGGTTTTGCATATGGTGCCAAATGAGAATTCGAAATAAAGCATTAATTAATACCACCTTGTAGATGAGCATTTCCACAAGCAACATCTCTATTTCGTATGCTTCAAGAATTTTGCCTTCATTCTGGGCCTTTGTTTTTTCTTCTTGAAGGATATGCACTGCTTCGGCTTCATGTCCACTCATTTCCAGCTTTGCAACAACCCTCTTTAACGTAAATACAGAATGCTATTAGACTCTTATACATAGAAACGTAATCATATGGAGAATGACACTAAGGGGATCCTGCAATAGAATTTTTTTTTTGTTTTTGTTTTTTATTTTTTATTTTTTTATTTTTGAGATGGCATGCAATGTTTTCAAACCATCACATTTTTGTGGAATTTTGTTATATTAGCATACTACTCTTTGGAAATTATGATGCTTGTTTATTCCCTTTCATCATTCATTAAAACAAAAATAAAGCATACCGCAATTTAAGTCCAATATTAGTAATAAAAATATATGAGACGTTAGAAGACCTATACACTATATCAAAAAAAACAAAACAAAACAAAAAGTGATAGGCCTAAATTACCTGTAGCTTGAGAAAATCAAGGGGTTCCTCTTCAAACAAAACCTTCAATTCACACAAGGCAGTTTTTAATACATTAGCATCGGCTCTAGCTTCCTGATAATCAACCAACCTCTCCAAGGCCAGTTTGCCTCCATGGAGGGCTGCAAGCGAAACGGACCTCTTATTAACGCGAGCCTGTCCTTTTCTTCTTCCCCAACCTCTGTTCAAGTAAGCGGATACAATGTAAGCACCACCGATGATAATCAAAGGTATTGCCGTAGCTGCCACCACTCCATATCTAGTTTTCACTGTTATATTGTTTTTACTATCGTTGTTCGCCATTTGATGACGTCGTTTTTCTGAAGTAAATTATTGTAATGAAACACAAAGAAAAATTAGACGAGTTAGTTGTATTTGTTGATATATATTTGTGTTCTTTGGCTAGGGCTTTTGTTTACATACAATTTAGTCTTAATGTTTTTCTCTTTTTGGGTGTGAAGTAAATCAATGGCGTATGTCCAATTAACATGATATACTTATCTCATAAATAAAGGAAGGAATTGAAAGTGAGAAAGGAGAGAGATGGTACCTTTGGGCAAAGTCGAAAAGGAGGAAAAGCATGGGAAGCCTGTAATTGAAGCTTGGGAAAATAATATTTAAGATTTTAGACTTGTAAAGATCAGGTAAAGCAACTTAAACTTATACTCAAGCTTCAATTATTTCCAATTAATTCTTTTTCCCATTCTTTTTTCCTTCTCTTAAGATATGAAGACGTAGCATAAATAGATTGAATATGATTTCAAAAAATTCATATACTTTAGCCAATCACAAAATTCTTCAATATAATCAATTCAAAAGAACTGCAAATTGTATCCAATTCCAATTTTTTTCCCCCTTTGGCTGGCCAGCCAGTTTGAAGAGAGATCTATTCTTATGAAATATGTTTGGAACGTCGAAGGAAATATCTTACCATACGGCCGAAGACCTTCTTATTTTATTTTACTTTTCAGATAACAAAAACAAAAGCGATAAAACATGGAAAGGAAAAACATTCATAGTAACAATTTAAATGAGGATAAAGAGTGCAATTACGAGGGTTTAAACTTAGAATCTCCCGCTTTAATATCACGTTAATTTAGCAATCCATCCGAAAAACTTAAGCTATTAGAAAGTGGACCAACAATAGTTATATAATTTAACAGTTAATGCTCTAATAATTTACATTCACGATATATATGTTATTTATACGCAGTCTCGCAACATTAAAGATTTATGTTACCATATATTTTTTTAGATAAATGATGAGAGAGTATAACTAATATCAAAACCTACTCTCATGGTTGGCACCCACTAATAGGAGTCGATCCTATGTTACCAACAATATTGCATGAATTGAGTTCAAATTATACATTCATAACTAAACTGTGATATATGTGTAAATATAGTGATATATGTGGGGTGTGTTCGATATTAGATTTCATTTTTTTTTAAATAACTGAATTTGTCTTTCTTCACTGTAAATAATAATGCGTTGTGTATGATTAATTCAAACTTATCTTATTAGGCTAAGTTGTTCTCTTTTGAGTTTTGGGTTATGTAGGGTAAATACTGTGGACAACTAAAAACCTATATAAATATGTCTTTTCTGTTTGGAGTTTGTAGAGTCGAGAAGAATTGAGAGATAGAGTATATTAGAGAAAAAAATAGAGATAGAAAAAAGTGTGAAGGAAATAAATAAGGAAATAGAAGATATGAGAGATATACGGCAAAAGGAGGAGCATTATAACTGAAATTCTAATCAGAAAAGTCAACACAAGATTTCTGCATAATTTGATCAAATCAGAGCAACATCATAAGAGAAAAAATCTTATAAGAAATCTGATCTTCCTTATTCATTTGATTGATTTATATAAATGTTGATTGATTTGTATAGCTGTATTTTGATTTTCTTGTCTGATGTACTGTGTATAAATACCTCATAAGATCAATGAAAATACAATGAGCCTTTCTACTAAAAATTACAAAGCTCTCAAAAAGGTGCCATGGGTTTTAGCCCTCTAAATATAGAGAGGTTGAGAGAGAGTTTGTTAAGTGTGTAATTTTAAAGTTGTTAATGAATTTATTCTGTGTTTGTACTAAATATTTCTGCTTCAGTTTATTGCCTGCTGCATTTTGGATAGTTAAACCCATATAAAACAAAAATATTAAAGTCGAATGAAGGAAATATAATTCTTAATTAGTGCCATCTTCATTTCAAATTTACAACAATCCCCCATCTCACCGGAAACATTTAAAAAGAAAAAAGAAAAAAAAAAAAAAGAAGAAGACACATACGCTGGTACAGGCAATGTAGTACTTTAATTTATATTGAATGGATAAATTTCCAGTCTATGAATATGCTTGTTTCCCTACTTCCCAGACTTTCTTTCCTGTGCCTTCTTTACGTCTTCTTTGAGCCTATTCACAACCTTCTCAAACTCATCGAATTTTGCACCCACTTTATAGATTCCTGTTTCTTCCACACTTTCCTTGAGGACTGGTGGGAAACCAAAGGATGTTCTTAATTCACAAAACTTCTCCCAAAATGGCTCCGCTTCTTTTTTTTTAGGGGGCTCCTTACAGAGGAAGATAATAGCCTGTCGCATATATTTTGTTCAAAAAAAAAAAAAAAAAGGATGAACGAACAAAATAAGTTGATCACATATGTTTCATTGAGCAATTTTGTGGAAGATGAATAATCACTACTCCGACAAACTAAACACTATCGTCTTATCATACCCTAAATAGTGGACGGCGCGCATCAGAAATCTTGTCGTCAGTCAAACATTTTCGACTTAGAGCCTTCTCATAGTCACCCTGGAATAAAGTACATTAAAACACACATTGATGCGAAACAAAATTATTAGTGTTTTAAATTTAAATTTTATTTAATGTATCTTATGATATATTTTTTCTTAAAATATTTAATTTTAAATTTAGATTGATCGTGTTTATTTTTTAGGATTACTTAAATTTAGAATTAAGTTAAGTTTATCTTTTTGGTTAGTTTAGATATTTATAAATGCCTACTAAATTGTAATTTTATTGATCAGCAAGTTTTAATGATTAATGAATGTTGAGTTTCTAATTTCATCCTCTTCAATTCGCGTTCTTCTCTATCCCTCTTTAATTTGCAGTTTCCTTTCTCTCGATTTTTCTTCTTCTATCTAAGTTCGTCCCTTTTATCTTATCCTACGTCACACACACATATATAAAGTAGAAAATAGAAACATATGAACTTTGTGTTTATGTATATAGACCCGTTACACAAATTAATTCTTTGATAAAAAAAATCGTTATTTATTCTTCTTGATCTTCATTTGTTGAAATTAGTTAAAATAGTACACCAATTAGACCATCACTTCTTTTCTTTTTCAAAAACCAATTAAGTCGAAAGTAATATATACAAGTATTAATCTGTACCTTGTAAATGAGCATTTCCACTAGTAACATCTCAAACTCATAGGCTTCATGCATTTTTCCTTTCTTCTGGGCGTCTTTAATTTGATCCTCCAGTATTTTTATCGTTCGGTCTTCTTTTCCACTCATTTCCAACTTTGCAATAATCCTCTTTTACTCAAACACAAAACTGTCAAACTCCTACAGAAATATCTTTAAAACATTTAATAATTTTAATCTATGTAACTTTTGGAAAGACACGTTTTTTTGTACAAATTTCCTTTCAGCTACTAAAGGGTAATTAATTCATCATTCATAATCCTACTACTCGTTATATTAAAATATAGTCAAACGTTTTAAATATTTTAGAGATAGCAAAAATATTTTTGTTTTTTGCTTGTAGAGATAACAAAAATAATAATTACTACGTCATTTCGTAGTATAAAATGTGAAAATCATTATAATAATTACAACATAATTTGTTTGTTCCTAAATATTTCAAAAGAATTGCTATATTTCAATTCCACGATCAAATGAACATGCTATGTAGTATGTAACATATATATCCTTTATATGAAATTAATCACGATTTTGTTCTTGAGTTTAATTAGAAATGTTAAAAGAAACTGCGGGGAATTGTTTTAACAAGTTTAAAGGCTTTTGAATCTTGGTTTTAACAATTAAGGACAAAAATGAGAATTTTTTCCTAGTAGTATATTGGCTAACCAATAAAAGGGATATATGTATGAGAATTAATGCTAGAGTTTACGGAATGTTTTTAACTCGAACTACATGAATCGTTTAAATCACTATGCAACTACAAGTTTGCAAGTGCACGTAACGCGTTCGAGTTCCCAGAACAAAAATGCGAATTTTTTGATGGTTTTAAGGTATTTATATATTGTGTATTTGTTTCTTTCATGTGAAAATCACCATCCAATATATGAAAGTTCTCAACGTTCATGTCATTAACATGTAAAAAATATATTGAGTTTTTGATAAAGTTGATAATTTTACTAACCATATATCTTTATTAATTAAGAGATGAGTTCATGAAAACGCACGGAAGAAAAAATGTTAGTATTTAAGGGTACATATGCGTGTACAAAGAGATTATGCATGCATGCTAACCGTGAGAGCGCGAAAATCAGGTCTTTCGTGATCTTTAAGCAAAACCGTGAGCTCGCACTCAGCAGGATCCAGCTTATGCAAATCAGCTCGAGCTTCATGGTAATCAATCAATCTCTGCAAGGCCACATCACCGCCATGGAGGAGCGCGAGCGACGTTGATCTCTTAAAGAGCGGAGGACGAACCTTCGAATTCTTTCTCCATAAAGTGAGTGCATAAGCTCCAACGCCTATGAAGACAACAAATGGCACTGCCACCTTTAACATTGCATATTTGCTTCTTTCCATCAAAGTACCAGAATTGTTGGCCATTTGATCAACAATACGTACAATTATATTTGTTAATTAATAACGTGTGGTACTAGGAGACACGAGAAAATTTTCTGGCTAATTTTTTAATTGGTTAGGTATAGGGAAAATTTCATTTATTAATCTTCTTTTTGATCTTCTCTTCCAAAGAAAGCGGGATTAATGTTAAATGGGGAGAGGGAAGGAAAGGTAGCTTATTTGTGACTAGGAGGTAATAGTAACATGCACGGAATATTTGAGAGGCTGTTTATTTGATACTTAGGAAATAAGAGCAAGTTATTCTTATCTCAGCCTTGGAAAATGAGTAAAGTAATTAAACTAGATGATGCAATGATTTTCCAACGAATATTCATATATGAACATGGAGGGCTTGTTTGTACCTTGAAGGGATCATTTCTTTGATAATAATAAAGGAATAATTCTTTCCAGATGAGAAAAGAAAAACCATAACGAAATTCCCTCCATTATAATTTATTTGATATTTGTGCTTTTTATTGGTCGATGTGTAGACTTTTTCACTTAATGATCCCTAATTATAATTTCTAAGTTTTTGAAAGTTGCTTTCATTTTCTTTCTATAAGATTTAAAATTTAAAATATCCGACAAATTAGATATAACATTGGAGTATAAAACTGAATAAGAAATAAAATAGCCACTTCTTATATGTTTTGTGACAAATAGTACAGGTATTTTATGAAATTGAGGGTGGGGAAATATGAACTCCTCTACACCTAAAGATCAAGTCAAGTGTAAATTTAGGACTATAATTGCAACCCACAAATAGCACTGTTTTTAAATATGATACTTACATTGGAGAAGGTGTGAGTTGACTAATAAACGGTTACTTTCTGACATTTACATTGAGTCATAATCGGTTGAATATCTAGTATAGAAAACAACTTACGGATAGTTCTCACCAAAATAAATAAATAAATAAATAAATTCTTACATATCAAATTCCATTATTGGTAGCAGTTTCCAATTGGATGTATAGTTTTCTTTTTAGCTGTTTTCAGTTGGGGTTGAGCCTCTGTTTTCATTTCATTTATTTTACTTGAAGGTTGTTTGATTTTTATTCAATTTTAATAAAATTTTAGAGGTGGAGTCTTAGTATGTGATAGGTTGCGGAAAGGGTTCCAATCTTATTGGGATGTTTTCTTGCGCTTGATACTAGTTGGCTTCTCTCATCAGTTTATTGAAAAATAGAACTAGGTCTCTATGGCATTATATTGTCAAATAGTGGTGGAGTTAAGATTTTGTTTCAGGTGGGACATAAACTAAAAATGTTAAAATTGTTAAAACGCCAAAGAAATCAACTCCTAATACCATTAGTTAGTTTTTTTTTCTTTTGTTTTGACATGCTATTAATTGTAAACATGTTATGTGCATGCATATTGATCAATTTATTAAACTTCTTGATACATAAATTAAAATTTTGAAGAGTTTAGTTTTTTTTTAAAAAAATTTGAATTTATTACTTTCTTAAGAATTTAGTTCAGTTTAGTAAAAAATTATGTTTGAGTGAAATGGACTAAAATGCATGTTTCAAACAAAATGTGTTTGGATATAGAATATGCATAAACAAGCATAATATATTTGAGCAATAAAGATTTTAGCAAGTGAATTAGATAAAAAAAAATATTTAAGGAGTACATAATACGTATGAAAAACAGTAATTGAGAGTGCGACAAGTAAAATAAATAAATAAATAAAATAAGTATGCAGGGAGATATTTGAGAAATATCATTTTAGCGGGTCAGTTAAAGCTTTTATCTATGAGGTTCACTAATTTTTATATAATAAACAAAAGGATATTTTAAAGGGGAGCATTTTGAAAGAAAAAGGTTTTCATAAGATTAAATTAGGAAAAAAAAAATCAATTTGGTATATTTAAATTCATAAGATTTAATGGGAAGATACCAAAAGAACAACAAGAAAAGAAACCCAATAAGGAAAGAAAAAAATTGAGATTGGATGTTGTGAAAATATATTTAAATTTTTTGTTAAGAAAAAATTTAAAAAAACCATAGACTAAAAATGAAAAATAAAAAATTCAGGGGCACTCCGCCACTGGTGCCAAATGTTTACGAGTAGTAAGTGATAGGGATCCAATATTAATAAAATATGACATACGTACGTATTAAATGCGCCACACCTACGGATCAATCATGCATAAACAAAAGCTCTCTACATAATACAATTAACCATACTAGGTATCAAATTAATTAACTAAGGTTTAAAAAGCCTTAACTCTTAGGAACGAGTAACACGCTCGTGCTTTAATTTTGTAATGTACACTCATTATGGAATGAGACTTTACAGAGTTTGATTCTAGAAAAAGGGAAGAGTTCTAATACGACAGAACCAAAGGCATGGAACCTGACCAATGACCATGCTTTAGCCAGTTATTACTTTAATAATTAGCTCGGCTTTTTTCTGTTCAAAGCAATAAAAAAAAAAAAAAATGATTCCTTACTTCACTCTATAAAATATTCCCCATCTAAAGTCTATAACTACTAAATACTACGTTTTTCCTTATATATCAATCACATATATTCTAAATCTCCTAGGCCTAATTCCCAAGGAAAAAAAAAAGAAAAATAGGGAGAAATTTTTTTTCCTTTCATATGGATTATGCACTTTGTCTTCGCTATGGAAATCCCTCAACCTTTCCTCAACTCACTAGTACTCGTCCCAACATCATGTTTTCATCAAGAACATTGACAAAATATTCCAATGATTTCTTCCTCAAAAACAACCCTAATCCATCAATTTCCCTCTCTAATCTTTGTGCTGTTAATGCTAAAGTACTTGGCCCTGTGGTTCTTGCTCACAGGAGGTTTCCGGGGCCTTCTTCGACGTCGGATGATCAGCGCAAAAAGGATCGCGAAATTGAAAGAATTATAAGTTCAAAGTCTGCACTTGGGGCGTCTTTCGCTTTGGCTTGTGTTCTTGGAATCTTATGTTTGGGCTCTACATTAATGTTGAGCCCCAAGAAAGCCGTGGCAGCTTTTCCTACTTTATTCGGCGGTGGAAGTTCGCAGCAAAATCCAATGGAAATATCACCTATAAGTGGGAAGGTCGCTCTAAGGGCATTTATGGAAGGGATTGTGTTCTTAGGCTCACACAAGAACATGCCCGTGCCTGCTTCTAGATTCTGCCCTCCTAATGTTGCCAAGCTTAAGGTTAATTCTTCTTTGTTTCAGAGAACTTCTATTCATTCCCATTGAACACATAATGTTAAATTTCTTTAGAATGATAGCAATATCCATAAAGTTAGCACATTAAAGAATATTCAAAATGTTGAGTTGACCACCCTCGATAACTTTTTAGGAGGTGTTTCTTTCATGTAGTCTAAAGATTTGTGCCGGATAACATAATTTTTTCTTTTATATGCATGCGCTTGATATATATATATATATATATATATGTATATATATGCATGGTATGTATTTTTGGTTTTTTTTATATTTACTTCGTTTGAGTTGGCCTTTACATTGTGAAACTGAAACATATATTCATACTCCTCCAATCGACGGCATCAGCAACATAGCAGCTGTTTTTTTTTTTTTTTTTTTATAATACCCAAATTACTAATTTTTTTTTATTAATGATGAAAATAACTGACACCAAAAGAATTCAGGATATCCCAGCTAAAGTTTGGTCCTCCTAGACTCGTTATCCCACGCCAAGCACTCACTCAATTTATTGAAAAGAAAAAAGAAAAAAAAAAGAAATAATATATATTTTTATACATATATTGTATAATATAAATATGCTTTTAGGAAAAAGCGTTGAAGCTAATGAAATTTTTTAGAGTGACGAGGCAGCGAAACAATTAAAAGAGGGTAAAACTAGTATCACTGACGTTGAAGGAAGATACCAACTCGACATGGCGCTTGTAGAAATTCTGATTCTTCAGGTATTATTCCTTAAACCCAATATGGATCATCAATTGATAACTTAATTGCTTGTAACGAGCCTTGATTTAATAATTAGATCTACTAAAAAACTTTTGAACACCTAATTACATTTAGAAGTGCTAATTAACCAGCTGATTAGTTACGACATACTGATGAATCACAAGAAGTCCGTAGGCATTACTATAAGTCATAATTTTGAAAATTATTCAATTCGGTGGCTCTCGTAACATGCATGCTAAATTAACTTAATTATTGTACAGGGAAAATATTCGGAAGCTTCGAAATGTTCATGTCTTGAGAAGACAAGTTGGCCTTCAGATCAAGTTCGACAATATCTTTACAAGGTTAATTCTTCCCACTCAAATCAACCAACCATAGTATCCAACTCTCATTTAAAAATTTTGATATTTTTTTAACTAATATTTTTCAATGCTTTATTATTTGAGTACATTAAATAACGCATAATAATTAAATAGATATCATTTGACATACCAAAATTTAAATTCTTTTAATGTGTCTACATACGTGCACTTGTATTTATGTATGTGTATATATATAGACGAGTTTTTAATGGTTACGTTTACATCGGTGGTTACCACCAAATATAGAAATCTGATGACGTGACGTGATAAAAATCTAGTTCCATTAATTGTCATAAATTTTTTGATCAATTATATAATTTATTATAACCGTCAGATTAATATTTTACGGTTAAAATAATGATACCTATTAATAGGTAAATATTAGAGTAACCATTAAAACCACACTATATATAGAGAGAGTATAGAAAATTTAGGTTAGAAAGGCGAAGAGGAGAAATTGATTAAGGGAACATAGATGTTTTCCAGACCATATTGTTCAGCTAATTATAACAAAGTTTCCCAGGTGTCTTTTAGTTAGAATTAGAATATAATTATAGAAACAAACTTCAATTTTCCTCACAACTCCCACCTGTAGAAACAAAAACAAAATACTTAGGCCTCGTTCAGCTCAGTGATTCAAGTTTTTAATTCGAGTTAAGATGTGACTTTTTGTATGAGTTTTTGACTGTAGCAGAAAAAGTTAGATGTGACTTTTTATGAGAGCTTTTAACTATAGAAAAAGTGAAATTAAAAACTCGAATTGGTGAAATGAACGAGACCATGTGCTTAATGATTTGAACTTTGAGTACTTTGAAAATTAGTGCTTAATGAAGTCCTAAGAAGAAAAGGTGAAAATATTTTACCAGAAAGGGAAAACTAAATCTCGCTAATTAAAATAGAGTACTTAAAGTATATCAGTAATACATGTACCAATTATGCTCTTTCATGAACCTGTTTTATTATTCTTTTGGGCCTGAGTGTACGTACTGAGATATGCACACGATCTACGGGTAGAGAGGGTTTGCAAGGTCCCCAACTATATCGTGACCCTAATTTACCTCCTCATGTACTGAATGATTGCCTCCTCAGACCTTAAATCCTCCCCGTAGGTCGAGAGGTTGGTACAACACTCTTAAATGTTCTTATTAGTCATATAGATCTTAATAGCGAGTATACGATATGTCATGGCATAGCATACTATAACTTTAAGCATAAACATGTACATAAAACATGTATGACATTCTATTTTTAAACTTATTCATATTGTAGATAAGACTTTCACTTACCTGCTATCAGCCAAGGTCAGAACTATATTACTCGTAGAGGTTAACCTCTACTTGTGTGTTCTGTAAAGAAAACCCACTTGGGGTGTGAGTTTGACTTATTATAAGCTAGTCTATTTAGCTTAGTCTATTTAAAAATTTATTCTTATACTTAGAAAAATATTTCCTTTTTAAATAAGGATCATTTTACAATGATTATTTTAATAAATCCTTATTGTATAGTTTTTCTTAATTGCCTTTACTTATTCGGTCCTAAGTTGATAACTTAATCTTTTAATTAGTTATCTACATCATGGTCTAAGTTACCAATTTAAATTATTTCTTAGTTTGGGCCTAAAATTGTATTAAGGTCCATTAGTCTACAACATGTCTACAACGCTCCTAGACACAAGTGTGTCAGACTTAAGCTCGAAAAGTTACAAGCCTAAATCTAAGAAAATTAGTGCCAGAAAACACATAACGATTTTCTTTAAAAAAAGAAAAAACTGTAAACTTGTAAAACAGTATTAAAATGCCTTTTTGGGCCTCGTTTACTAGATAGTATATTAAACGATTATATTTTGAACAACTTTAATTTAAACATTTTTTTCATTAAAATTTAGAATCATTTAGGGTGCGTTTGGTAGATGGATCCAGAATCATGATTTTGGATCCTTGTTTAGAATCAGTTTTTGTTTACAGTGATTCATTGAGAATCAATGTTTGATTTGGATGATTCTGAATCATAATTCGAAATCTGATGTGATGTTTTAAACTAGCTCAAATCATGATTCTCAAACCACCCCTCCTCTCGATTCAATGTAATTCAAACCCATGATTATGAAGCATGGTTTCAGAATCATGATTTGAACCCAAAATCATGAATCATGGATCTAGTTCCCTAATCATGATTAGAATCACCATGGTTTGAATCCTTGTACCAAACACACCCTTATAAACTTTATCAGTTAAGCTGACAGTTTTTCTTAATCTGTAAATAACTTTGTCATAGAGTTGAATTCTTAAATCTGAGCTTTACAGATTTTTTTTGTCTCGTCGCGATCTAAAAGGTTCGTGTTTCACGGAATATGAGGTTCGACCTCGTAATGGCCCGAAATCTTAAAAATAGTGACTGCACAAATATTATTTTGCGCAGTTTTAGAAGACAGCCCGAAAACGCGTTCCAGAGTTAAAATTGTGATTTTTCACAGTCATAAAAATTTGTCCGTAACGTCGAAACCTTTAAGACTAATGACTCAAAAATCTTAGAATTTCCCTCTAAAGGGTCCAAAAACAATAAAAACAGAAACTAACTCAAATTAACAGTTTTGAACAGTTTTTATGAAATTCTAGGTAGTTTTAGAAAAACGTCTAAAAACACATTTTAGAGGCAGAATTGAGATTTTTCTCAGGTAAGGAGAAATGTTTAGAACATCGAGATCTACAACTTTCAGGAAATAGTATTTTTCTTAATTTGGACACTAAAAGCTCCAAATTTTAAATCAAAATAGATTGAAATTTTTAAACTAAAAACAGAAAATTGTCAACTTAATTTTTTGTACATCTTTAACCTCTTAAAATTAACGTGCAAAGCTTAAATCTTATTCTAAACACACAAAATAGCAACCTTGGACCATAAAATACAAATTTAAAAACATAGATCTAACATTAAAACCCCATGTATGTGACGATCTAACCTTTTAACAGACATATAAACAATAAAAATCCAACTTTGTAACCAAACTAAACTTTGTTCTTAAAGTTGAAATGATCAAGATATGTTTTAAAGAATCTTACGACAAACCTTAGCAGAGGAATGGTTTTGACCACCAAAGTGAGAAATTCCTACAAAGATTTAAACTTTTAAAGAAAAGTTGGAACTTTGAACAAAGAAAAATCAAAGAAGAAAAGTTTTGATCTTTAGCATTGAAAGTGTTAGGAAAATCCACACAACTTCTTCTCCTCCTTCTTGATTATGGCTTGAAGATCTCTTAGTGTGAGGAAAAGAAAAAGAAAATTGAGAGAAAGAGAGCTGGAGGGCTTCGACCAATTGAGGGGAAAAGAGAGAGAAAGTGTAGGAAATTTTGAGAGTAAAATGGTGAAAAGTGAGCTTTAACTTTAAATGGTGGTATATATAGATAATTAATTAATTATACTTAACTATAATTCTTAAGCTTCTTAGACTCACTAATTAGATTAAAAAAATTAATTAATCATGCTAATAGTGGGCTGCCAATGGTTAAGAGAAAAGGAGAGAGGAATCTTTTTAATCATGACTTGTATTATTTTTCAACACAAAGTTAAATATAGTTTCATCTTTGTCTCCTATTAAAGTATTCTTTTATCATATTAAATTTACACTGACAGTAATTTTTAGATAAAAAAATTCTTTTTGATATCAATTATTGCCTATCGTGATTTATTAAAAAAAGAAAAAGAAAACGAAAAAAGAAAATAAATTAGGGAAATAAAACAATGTTGCTTCTCACGGTTCTCGCTTTTTCACCTTGACAGGGCATTATATATACCATCTTGGACGACAAAGACAAAGCAACGGAGTCTTGGGAAGAATTTATCAATAAGGGATTCCAGGGCGGACCCGATCCATTTGACGAGACCTGAAACATTTGAATTTATTTATTATGCCCATTTGTTTTACGTTTCGAAGTTTTACTATATTGTTTGCATCGTCGATATTTTAAAGTTTTAGTATATTATTTCGCATCATTCGTTTATATATATATATATATATATATATAGAAACAATTAAGTGTTTTAGGGATATCAAATATATCCAAACTTGTGTCTCTGTCCTTAAATTTTTATTTTATTTATTTATTCTAACTATGTTGACATCCAAATTATATCAGTTAATCATGCAACACACAATTTTTTAATTTAAATATGATTAATTACACGGCTTTAGTTGTCAAATTTCTTGTAATTTGGGGTTTAAATTCAAACTTTTAAATATTGGGTCAAATTTTAAAGCTTTGATTGGTATTTGTCAATTGACCATTGACCGGTCAAACATCCCCCGTCGAAACAAAACCCACCACTAATAAAAAAAAACCATTCAACGGCCTTTCCTTCCACGCCCAATCAAAAACATCATCCTTTTCTCTCTCTTTCCACTTTCCTCCGCCCACGGCTAGCACTTTAAGTTTGAACCGCGCCAAACCAGTCAGTCCGAGGCCCATACTATTGACTAAGAGCCCGTTTAGTTGAATGATTTGTTCTCTGATTCGAATCATTGTTCATAGTTTGCTACAATATTTTTTCTCATAAAAAATATACGTAAATCAAAAACGATTCTAATCTCATAATTTTAATCTGTGAACCAAACGTCTCATAAATGATCTAGCTGAGATTCATCACTATTGACATGATCACGCCCCAGTCCGGCCCACTAAAGTATTTGGATCGAGCCTATACTTTAGGCTCGAAAGTATTTTTAGGCCAATGATGCTCTTTTTTATTAATTTTTTCTTTATATTTTCTTATAAAGTTTCGGTTCGACCCTCAATCCGTTAAACTTTTAAGCAGGCTTGGCCGACTCTTTCTTTTTAGGGCCAACTCGACCCAACTTGGTAAAAATAACAAGCTAAACCGGCCGGCTCAAGCCCGAAATTATCCAATATTATAAAGACTTAACAAATTTATCTAATATAACAAGGACTTGACCATAGATAGTCTCCTCGTTCTGTGATCATCATCAATATTGGTAACTAATAGTTCATTGTAAAATAAGATGTGCACATAATATGATAAATGTGAAGTCATCAGTACAGTCACAGTCATCAAGACCGTTAAGATAGAGTAAGCTCAGTCATCAAGACCGTTAAGATAGAGTAAGCTGTACAATCACACTTTGTCCATATAGTATTGTTATAAGTGATGTTTTATAAAAAAGAACATCATTTCTCAATAGTAATGAGACCTTTTGATATAAGCTTAAACACAAAGCAAAAATATCATGCCAAGCAGTGGTGTAGACTGCTACAAAGACTATCAAAGTTATGACCCAATCCGAAAGGCGGCCAGTGAGGACATTGAGTCCCAAAAGGTGGATACTAATTTTAATAGTCATAATTCCTTCGAGATAAAGTGGTCAAAATAAATTAAGTTATGGAGCCCCACATCGCAATATCGCAATAGAGAATGTTCATAAATAAGGACAACATCTCTAAATAATATGAGTCCCTTTCAAGGTAGACCCCGAAAATTAATCCGTGTGGATTTAGGCCTAATATGAACAGTGTCATACTAAATGAAAATGTTACTCATTACAATAGATATTTAATATTATGTGAAAATAGAATTAGAGAAAAACTAATCGTACAATACTGACACATACTAAATTGACATTTAAATTAAAACACTAATTAGCATAAAAATTTGAGATAAACTGGAGATGTTATTAATGAGAATTAATATATTTTGGCTATAAAACATGACACAATCAATTGGTGATGAATCAAATGACATGCTACTTATTTGATATATTCTAATTACAAATGTATATCTAGATAGTGCAATAATTGATGAGTAAAAGCAAGTACAATAAAATGTACTAGTTAATCCAACTATGGGTACAGATGCAATTGCATTTTGGTTAGGTACACATAACGTCAACCTATCACATGATCAAAAGGTTGTCCTTATTTTAGTCAAAGAATTCGACCAAAAAAAAATAAAAAATAAAAAATAAGATTCCGGGAAAATATTGAAGGGAAATAGTAGGAAATAAGTCAATATGAAAAGCTTAAAAAAATATATAGGCCAATTTTTAATTATAGAAATTAATAAGTCATAACTTGTCAAGTTATGATTCATAACCAGATAAGTTATGGACAAACTTGTCAAGTTAGGGTTCATAACCAGATAAATTATGGACAATAACTTGTCAAGTTATGGTTCATAACTAGACAAGTTATAGACGAAAACAATAATTTGTCCTGTTTATTAACTTATGTAAACAATTGGCCTATTAATTTTAATTCATCTTAAATCTTGACATATTTCCCTCTTTCCGATCATATCTGAATCTACTGTACGGAGCACATGGCAGATACATATCGGTATCATAATGGCTAATCTTAAAACCAATTTTCAGTGTAATACAAGATTTGCAATTCTTCAGTTCTTTGGAAAATTAAGAATTGCAGTTGGATAGATGATCAGCATGAGGTCTAGTCATACATGGCCATGAGGAGAGATGTCCAAACACCCAATAAACAACCGCCGTCTGGTCCAACACACGTGATGGGTTTGGCCCATTTTATGCCCTTTGCTGGGCTACTACACGTGATGGCCCTCATGAGAGTTTAGTCCCTATTTTGACATTTTGTAATATTTTATTTTTATTTCTGACCCGTACCCTGAGGATCTTCCACGTAAATGATGGTGCAGGAACTAGTTCGCACGTGTCCATGTGCAAATGAATATTGGTATATGTATATATATGACAAAGAAACAAGATGTGATATCATCCAATATAACACAAGTTCGAGGTTCTAATTTAGAAGTACCAGAATTGTGATTTGATTCCTTCTGTGGAAGCTATATGTTGAAGGAATACTTCTGGAAGCATGTAAGACTCCACCATATGTCAATTGTCTTATAAGCTGGTTACACAAAACGTGGCACATGGTTTGGATGACTCATCATTATAATTGCAGTTTTTGTATTTGTTTAGGGTTAATATCATAAACGGTCTCTAAAGTTTAGCCTCAATCTCATTTTAATTCATGATTTCTCAAACGTCACACAGTTAATCCTTAAAGTTTTATTTTATTTTAATTTTGGTCATTCTGTTAATTTAGTATTAAATAGTTGACGAAATCTATAGAAATTATAGACTAAAATTTGAAATATATAAAGTTTAGAAACTAAAATAATACAAAAAACTAAAAATTAATTTCTACAGATCGACCTAAAATTTTAGTTTCTAATTTTGGACTCTAATTTATACATATTATATTAAATTTTAACGCCTAATTGATGGAAGCACCAAAATAGAAAGAAAATAAAATCTCACGAACCATTTGTGCGACGTTTGAAAAGTTAGAGATTAAAATAAGATTAAGTGTAAACTTTAGGAACTATTTAAGAAATTAACCTATTTGTTTACAAATAATAGTTTTGACCGAGCACTCCGTACGTGATTTATTTAAAAATAACTATCACACTAATCGTCTAAAAAAAGGAAGAAGGAAAAAAAGATATAAATTTTAACTTATTTTGTTTTGTTTTAAATTAGCTCTTTTAGTTTTGTTTAATTTGCTTTTATTTAATTTGATGTTATTTTTGTTTATTTTTATTTTTATTCAAATTATTAATAGTATTTTTATTTATAGGATATTAAAATTTTGGTGTAAAATAGTGTTAAAATAGACAAAATCAACCACAAATCATTTCAAAATGAATGAATATGTATAATAAATAACAATAATTAAAAAATTAATTTGTAAATTATTCGAGTCATCTATTGAGATCATGGATGGCTTTATTTTTTATTTAATTTAGTGTGATTTCATTTTATTTTAATGTATTTTTGTTTAATTTTATTCTTTATTTAAATTATTTATAGCATTTTTATTTGATAAGTATGAAAAATTTAGTACAAAACGTACTAAAACGGACAAAATCAAACAATAAATCACTTCAAAATTAACACATAAACATAATAAATAATAAATACAAATGGGATTCTTTTACTGTCCGTTGGATCAAAATGTTCAACGGATTAAATTAGCGCGTGCGGTACAACTGCCAACAAGAGAGCATTTGTGGGACAGGGGTAGCAGCGCGTGCGGTACAAGTGCCAACAAGAGCGCATTTGTGGGACAGGGGTTGTAGAACTCTGCGTCAGGTGGGGCCCGCCACTAACGTATTCCAACCAACGAATGTACGCCACGTGTCAACACTGTGGCCCACCAATTTTCCACGCTAAATCTAGTGTGGTGCTACACGATTTCGATTTTTCTCCAACAAATTGTACGTTGACATCTGGCATGTCTCTGATCGAACGGCTCTCATTACACTCGTGCGGAGCCCACCAGCAAAACTGACTGATTGCCCATTGACACGTGGCGAATTCAATGACACACCGAATCATTTTCTCTCCGGGCAAAAAAAAAGTTTTTTTTATTGATTTTTTCAATTCTATTATTTATATTGTTACATAAAATTTTAATGTTATTATGAAATATAATTTACAGGTTATGAAAAAAAAACATGTAAATTATGAAAAAATAATTTATAAATTATTAATGATATAAAATACATTTAATAACAGTAAAAAAAATAAAATAATATTATTTTATTGATGATATTTTTAAAAAAATCTAAACAAAAAAAGGCGAACGAAACAGCCACAAACGTGGCTGAAGGAGAGCGTTTGGAGCTTCTTCACCCTTTATATGAGTAGATACTAGGCGAGTGACATGTTTTGTGAATATTGTGGGAGTGATTTTGTAGAATCTATCTGCCTATTGAAGTTGTAATTGTTGTGTTATCTATTGTTTTCTAATTTATTTAGTAATATAGGTCTCAGTTGATTGTTAATATGCAGTTAAAACAAACATTATGGTTGCTACATGGAACGGAGGAAAAAATTTGGAAGAATCTTTTTCTTTTTTTTACGGAAAAGTTAGAGGAACTTTAAAGTAGATAAAAGAATATTATTTTGTTTCCTATAAAGGAATTAA